GTATTCTTTCTTTCTTATGTTCTGAATGTAAAAATGTGGTGGACGTCGAAGAAGTAGGCAAAAGAGAAAGTTACTTCCGTTATTGTGATGGCCTTAAAGAGTAGATGGCAAAGCTTTATTTTCTGATAGAACCTAAGAATAAAATCTCTAATATTCCTTCAACCTTTATTTGCAGTTTTTGATATTTGTTTTCACTTGCCATGATATATGTGGTTATGATGATTACCTTCTGGGAGGCTTGTGTACGCAATCTTATTTTGAATCAGAAGCCAAAAGTACTCACTCTCTTGTGGAACTTAGATAGCTTGGTTTGAGTCACCTCTTGAGCTATCATCATAATCTATTAATTTGATTTCAAATATGCCTTTCTTAGTTTTGGAAATGTGTTTAGGTCTTTCAGACTTTCTCATGACAATTTTGGAAGAAGATTTCCTATATGTCATGTGCACACTGGGAACAAAATCATAGAGGTTTGGTATTTAAATATTATTGATACACTAAAAAGAATTATATGATATATAATAGTCCCGCCGTGTGGGACGGGTAAAGAGTTATATAATAGTCCCGCCGTGTGGGGCGGGTAATCTAACGACTACTTACCACTTCTCTCGGGTATTACTTGCATTTATTAGCTTCAGATATTCCAGAATTGCTTGTCTTTTTATTCTTGACCTTATTTGACTTTAAAAAGTCTTCAGTATTTGAATGGGTCAATGTGAAAAGTCTTTGTATTTGTATTTGATTATTGAAAAGCCATCTCTTTGTAGCCATTTCCTGCAAAATACGACAAAACATGAAACTCTTACTTTTACTTTCTTTCAGTGCTCTCATGTTACTTGAAGCATTTGGGAATACCCATGAAACTGATAAGCAAGCATTACTCAAGTTCAAGTCTCAGGTGTCTCAGGAGAAGAAAATTTTGCTGTCTTCATGGAACAACTCCTTCCCTCTCTGCAGATGGACGGGAGTTACATGTGGCCGCAAACACGAGAGAGTTACTGGTTTAGACCTCGGAGGATTCCAATTGGGTGGAGTGATATCACCATTTATTGGTAATCTTTCGTTTCTCATATCACTTAATTTCTCTGATAACTCTTTCGGTGGAACTATCCCTCAAGATCTGGGAAAATTGTTTAGACTTAAGCACTTGGATATGACCTTCAATTTTCTGGGAGAAGGGATTCCAGCCAGTATGTTCAATTGTTCTAAATTATTAGCCCTTGATTTATATTCAAATAATCTTGGACAAGGTCTTCCTTCAGAACTAGGATCACTGAGTAAGCTTGTTTATTTAGACCTTGGTCAAAACAACCTGAAAGGAAACCTCCCTGTATCTCTAGGAAACCTGACATCCATCAAAATACTTTACTTTGGTAAAAACAATCTGGAAGGAGAAATTCCTGATGCCATAGCTAAATTGACTCAAATGGTATATTTTCTGTTCCCAATAAACCATTTTTCTGGTCTTTTTCCTCCTGCAATTTACAATTTGTCCTCACTTCAGGCTTTGGACATGTTTGGTAATGGTTTCTCTGGGAACCTGACGCCTGATTTTGGTAATTTGCTACCAAATCACCTTCGACAATTGTCTCTTGGAAGTAATTCTTTCACAGGAGTCATTCCATCAACAATTGCAAATATTTCATATCTTGAACATTTGAGCATGGAGGTTAACAGTTTGACAGGAAATATTGATCAGAGCTATGCAAAAATACGAAATTTGCAAAACCTAGACCTTTTTGGTAATTCTTTGGGAAGTTTTTCAGCTGGAGATCTTGAATTTCTTGTTGCTTTGACTAACTGCACCCAACTGCAAAGCTTAGATGTGTCATTCAATAGGCTTGGCGGTGACTTGCCTGCTTCCATTGCCAATCTGTCAATGAACCTGAACCAGTTATATCTTCGACATAATTTCATATCTGGAAGCATTCCTCATGGCGTTGGGAATCTCATAGGCCTAGAATTATTAACTTTGTCCGAAAATCTACTGAAAGGACCAATCCCAACCTCTTTTGGGAAACTTTCAGGCTTGGTGGGATTTAGTGTCTATTCAAATAGAATGTCAGGAGAGATACCATATTCTTTAGGAAACATCACTCTGTTAGAAACACTCGATTTGTCCAACAATAATTTTGAAGGACTCATTCCTCCAAGTCTTGGTAAATGTAGATATTTGCTACGTCTACATCTTGAGAATAATAAGTTGAATGGTATTATACCTCTGGAGATTATGCAAATTTCAACCCTTGTTTCTCTAAAAATGTCAAATAATTTATTGGTTGGCTTTCTACCAGAAGATGTTGGACGACTTGGAAATCTTGGTAATTTATCTGTTGCTCATAATAAGCTATCAGGGAAATTGCCAAAAGCTTTAGGAAAGTGTCTCTCAATGGAAAAACTTGAACTACAACAAAATTTTTTTGATGGAAGCATTCCAGATATAAGTGTGTTGGTGGGCATTAAGGTGGCTGATTTCTCAAGCAACAATCTTTCTGGAATTATCCCTGAATATTTCACAAACTTTAGCTTGTTGGAGTATCTCAATCTATCCTTCAACAACTTCGAGGGAAATGTGCCAACGGAAGGAAAATTCAAGAATGCCACTATTGTCTCTGTGTCTGGAAACAAAAATCTTTGTGGAGGCATCTTGGAACTGAGACTAAAGCCATGTTCTTTGCAACCAGCAGGAAAATCAAAAAAGAAACTTGTGCTTTGGGTAAGCTTGGGAATATCTTTTCTTTTGCTTTTGTTCATAGCTTCAGTTTCTCTTTGTTGGTTAAAAAGCAGAAAGAAGAAAAATACAGATGATGCAACTCCTTCCACCTTGGGGGCTTTTCATGAAATGATAAGTTATGGAGATCTACGAAATGCGACAGATGGCTTCTCTTCGAGTAATTTGGTCGGATCAGGCAGCTTTGGTACCGTTTTTAAAGCCTTTCACCCTGCTGAGAACAAGGTTGTTGCAGTGAAAGTTCTAAACATGCAGAGACGTGGAGCAATGAGGAGCTTTATGGCAGAATGTGAATCTTTGAAAGACATTAGACATCGTAATCTTGTGAAACTGTTGACAGCTTGTTCGAGTATTGATTTCCAAGGAAATGAATTCAGAGCTCTAATCTATGAGTACATGCCAAATGGAAGCTTGGATATGTGGCTGCACCCAAAGGAAATGGAAAAGATTTCTCAGCCCTCAAGAACGTTGACACTTTTGGAAAGACTTAACATAGCGATAGACGTGGCTTCTGTTTTGGAGTATCTTCATCTTAATTGCCATGAAGCCATTGCTCACTGCGATCTTAAACCAAGCAATGTTCTTCTAGACGATGATCTAACCGCCCATGTTAGTGACTTTGGTCTTGCTCGGATCCTTCTCAAATTCGACCAGGAAAACTTCATCAACCAACTTAGCTCGGCTGGAGTCAGAGGAAGCATCGGCTATGCGGCACCAGGTAAACCTATCACACTTATAATGTTTGAATGAAGAAATCTAATACTCTTTGTTCCCAATAATACAATTTTATATATACTGTATTTCCTTGTTCTACAAAGATAAATTATAATATATTATATATCATTAAGGTACGTTGATAGTTATTGGAAATTGTATAGTAAAAAGAAAAAAAACAAATTTCATTATATTCTTAATATACGTAAGTACTCTAGAAATTTTATTCTTATGGGAATGGAGAGAATATATTTCTTGCTCCGATCTTGTATGATATGAGTTATGGTGCAGAATATGCAATGGGTGGAGAAATATCAGTACATGGTGATGCGTATAGTTTTGGGATTCTCATTCTCGAAATGTTCAGTGGAAAAAGACCAACCGATGAGATGTTCGGAGGAGACTTAACCCTCCGTAGCTGCATCAGGTCTGCATTGCCAGAGCAAGTTTTGGATGTCGCAGACGAGTCGGTTCTTCAAAACGGCCTTAGAATTGGCTTCCCTGTTGCTGAGTGCTTGTCAAAGGTTTTAGAAGTGGGACTTGGGTGTTCTGAAGAATCTCCTGTAAACCGGTTGGGAATGAGTGAGGTTGTGAAAGAATTAATCTCAATCAAGGAGAGGTTCTTCAAAACAAGAAGAGGAAGCTAGACGTTGAAGTGTCGTCTTGTATGCTTTGCTCCTCTCAAACTTGAAAACTTGCAGATGTATAATATTACTTCGTAAGATGCTTTGAATATTTTGAAAATAATGCTACGTTATTAGCAGACAAAAGATGAATGTTATGTTTTGATATTTGTAATTTGGGATTTCTATCGGTAAACAATTTGATATCTACTACATGTTTTAATAGTTTATACAAGTTCATATTCTGGTGTTGTATTCTCCTCTACATGTTTAATAGTTTCTACAAGTTCATATTCTGGTGTTGTATTCTCCTCTACATGTTTAATAGTTTCTACAAGTTCATATTCTGGTGTTGTATTCTCCTCTACATGTTTAATAGTTTCTACAAGTTCATATTCTGGTTTTGTATTCTCCTCTACATGTTTAATAGTTTCTACAAGTTCATATTCTGGTGTTGTATTCTCTCCTCGACATGTTTAATAGTTTCAGAGCTTTATCATTGCCACCACAATCCTTGAACTATCTCCACCCGCAGTCACTCAAGCAGTTAATAGCAAAGAGATCATGAAGAGTGCTAAAGAAACCATAAATACCTTTTGATGGATTGGAAAGGCATAGTCATGTATGATTTTTCTTTCTGGTCTAGAGAATAGTTAACAGAGAGCCATATAATTGTTACTTCATCTTGTTTGAAATGGTATTCTTTCTGCAAGAACGTATAGTAATCATGCGTTAAAATCTTAAAGGTAAGAAAAGATTGTTTCCTCAATTATCTGAGCTAAACACAAGTGTTAAAACTTAAAACAACCAAGTAGAGAGAGTTCAAAATTTTTGGCTATAACTTATCAAACGGATACAGACAAGCGGACGGAATGATGTACAACCACATATGAACCGATGTGAACTAATTGCAAATAGGTTGCAGCAGTAAGCTAATTTGAACCCTTGTTGGTTTGAGGTTGTTTTGGTGGCTTCATAACGCTCCAGGCCTCCTTCCTGCTCTTGGGTTTCTTGAAACCATCGCCTTCTTTCTTGTTGCTCGGTGATGGTTTGTCACTGCTCCTCGGAGACTTGTTAGGATGGTTTTGTTCCTCAGACTGATTCCTCACCATTTGTTTCCCGGCTTGACTCAATCTTCGGTTCACTGAAAGAGCATATGCATAAAACAGTAAAGAGAGAAGAAATGAAACAAATGATAGGTACCAGAATCCATTGCCATCAATAACGGCTTCATTTGTTGAGAACCAAAAGAAATATAAAATCGAAAGACTACAAAAACAAACCTAGATGGAGGGGTTGAAAGACTGGAATGACATGCGTCCAACCACATGTTCCTGGCTGAGGATCCCAGTCTGTTATAACCACACTGCATCGATCATCAAATTACACATTACCAAAAACACGTATCAGATACTGACAACTAACCAGACTAAAAACTAATTGTCATGATTCATGAAGATAGGGAAGTAATCAATCTAAGAGCCGAAAACAACAAGAACAAAAGGGTAGACAACACAATCACAACTACATCAAACAAAAGAAGCACTACCATTCCAATCATCAACTTCAAATTCATGAAGATAGAAGGTAGAAGACGCAAACAGCTGAGTGCATATCGATAGATAAAGCTACAATGTAAAGATAAAACACACTTATCACCACACGATGTGGGATATATTAATACATACCTTTAGATTAATCAAAGTGCTACAATCTCTCTCTCTCTCTCTCTCTCTCACTCTCTTCGCCATTGTAGCTTGCCGGTACCGAAAAAGATGAACAAATCGAATGTTATTGTTTTCATTAGATTCAGTTTCCGACAAGAAGAAAAAGAAGAAGCTCCGTCCAAATTTGACTCAAGTTTAACTGGTAAAAGCTAACCGATTCAAACCGCACTAAATTGAAGAAGAGCAAAAAAAAACAGATTACCAAACCAAAATTAGTTTGGTTTAGTTTTTGGGTATTTGAAAAATAAACCGGAATCTAATCTGAAAAAACAAGTCAAGCAGCAACGTCCTTTCGCTCCAAGGATCAACGATGGAGATCGAACGTGATGGAGAAAACGATGGATTATCTCGGAATTGATTATTCTTCGCTGCGTGATTGGTATTAATGTATATAGTTGGTTCACTCCGGTTTAAACTAGATCATTCTTTTATTTAATTTGATTGTGGTTTACTTCGGTTGACGCGTATAAACCAGATGTAAGCTATACTTCCCACAAACGGTTCTGTTTCTCCGTAACTGAGAGTTTCCGGCGAAAGATATGCCTCTTTCCTCTCATTTCGAAGCTGCTCGGTTACTTCCTCAGGTTTTAATTCAACCAACCAAGAAGCTTCCTTTCTCAGCTTTGATGATGCTTATAACGTGTATGTGCTGTTGTAGATAAATGAAAATCTTGGACTGTAAGAGGGTTAATTGCTTTCTTCATTTGAGTTTCAAGTGGTTGGTTACACAATCTCACTCGCGTATTGTCTTTAACAAGAAGCTTCCCTTCTCAGCTTTGATCTTACCTGGC